AACACTCACATCGTCAACTCTGAGCTCAATTATCTCGTTTCTTGTAAAAGATATCATAAATATGTCAACTGATAAAATGTTGGTGATTATTATGACAAATATTTTATCAGTCGACATATTTATGATATCTTTTACAAGAAACGAGATAATTGAGCTCAGAGTTGACGATGTGAGTGTTCTTTTACCGCTATGGAATCCATCACTGTCAGTCGGAAAAATGAATTATTTTCGAAATACTTCTTCTCCTTCACCAATATAATAAAAACAATAAAAATGTGCAAATATAATCCGATTCCAAGATAAATTGCATATCCCAGAAACATCATTCCCTCCCAAAATGCATTGTAATCCAAACTACAGTCAATAGGGTAAATCTCAGAATTATTCATTGTGAATTGTAGAATGAAAAAAGTGAGGAAGTTTGAGAAAATTGTGAGAGAAAGCTGAAAAGTCGCACAACTTGGGGGCGGAAACAGCAATAATTATGAAATGATTGCCTGAGAAAACTGGTCGTCTGCCAGTTCTTAGGAGCACAGAAACCACAAAAAATATGAGCAAAATATGACCTTTAAATTTTCATTGCACTGAAAAAAACGTGATTTTTTAAATGAACCCAGTGGACCATAGAAGGACGAGCAATGAGTTAAAAATGTTATTTGAGACCCAAATTTTGGGATTTTTTTCCAGAAGCAGAGATAATTAGCGTCAAGGTTACGGTACTGTACATTCAGGTTCGAACCCCAGGCTTGTATGATTTTTTCCTATCACTTTTAAATATCAAATCCAACTATTCCCATCCTAAAATAGGTGCAACAAACGTTTGATCAAAAAAAAGCGCAACCGATTTGCACTCAACCGAAAATTCAGAACGTAGTACAAATGAATGTCGTCAGTGGACAAATCGTGCGAATTTAGAAATAACAAACAGAAATCTTTTGATTTCTTAAGAACATGAAAAGTTAATATGATCCACAAAACTTTGAAGGAAATCGCAACTTCCACGACAGAAACAAGCAAAGAGAGAGTTTAATTATGAGAAAAAAATTGAAATTAAAATAGAAAAAAAAAACTTCAATTTGATCAGACTTCGTACACTAATCAGCGTTTTGAAAGGCCAGAGACTCGGCAACCAGGCTGGGAAGATCATGATTTAGATATTTGAGGAAAACTTTTTAGATCTTGGTTGACGCTCAAAACGTCACCGTGGAACTTTGACTCGATTCCCATGGTACATTTCTCATTGTTTCCCAAGAGATGGTTACTATTAGAAGGCTCTATGGTATACAATCCCTAATCTACATGACAATCTAATACTGAAACCATAGTTTACGACCTCAATAGCCCTCTTCACCTCGTCTTACAGCTCATCCAGGTGAAGGAGGATGACAAACAGATTAGTGGGCGGAGTCAATATTCTGTATATAAGTAGCTCCAGATTCCTCATTCCTTACGCGTTCTCACACGAACACTTCTTGTCTTTCTCTATCGACCTATTCGTAAAGATGTCATCTGTTGCTTCTACTTCTTCTGCCTATTCCTTCAAATACTTCCCACGTTATGGTCAATGGACAAAGGAGATGCAAATGGAGTTGGATGAGCATTCCCGTCAAATGGCAAAGCTCATGATCCATGTTCAAGGTCTTTACAAATCCAAGAAACAATCGAAGAACGATCAGCAGAGAGAGGATACCGATGCCGATTGTATGGTCCACTCAGAATCTCCGATCTCTACTCCACCATCTTCTTCTGAAGCCTCATCATCGTCGACGTCTCCACAACCAGAAATCCAGAATCATTTCGATCAGGAGGATCAATTCAATCAGTTTCAACAAATGCCAATGGATCAACCAGCCAACTACACAGTCTACTTCCAGCCGATTCAATACACTGCAGAGGTATTCGAACACAATGGATGTACCTATTTTCACTATTAATTACTATATTGTTTAATTTTTATATGTATTTTATTAATAATAATAATGATTTCTTTAATAAATAATGGATTAATTAACCGGATGTTTTCTTTGACCAACACATTTTAAGAACGAAGCTTGGTCCGGGCTCAGTTCATAGAGCAAGTTCCAAAGACAAAAAAGAGCTTTTTACGTGTAGGTGAATGGTGAGCTAGAAAACGAGACCAATTTAATATAGGGGTTACTGTAGTTTCCTTTTTGCCAACTGGAGGTGATGTTAATGTCCAATTTATTGCTTCCCCATTTTCACCTCGATTTTTCTATTCCCGACTTTTCCATTCGATTTTTTGTTCCCATTTTTTCATTTTCATTTTTTGATTTTATTGACTTTATGGAAACTTTAACAAAATAGTTTCTCATTTTCTGTTGTTGTTTGTTGTTTTTTCAATAATAAACGAGAAATTAAACTTTGATTAGCTCAAAGAAAATTGTGTCGTCAAATACGGCCCCAAATACGCAAACACTACATTTTGAAGAATTTGCTCAAATTTGGGAGATGATTATCAGCAGAAATATCGGTCAGGAAAAGTGTTCGAGTTTTTTGGCAAAAAATTTGAATTTTCATTTTTCAGCTTTATCTTCCGCCACGTCTGTAAATCGTTTCGTTGTCTTATTGATTCAGATCTTTTCAAAGGAATTATTGTGGAATTTGATAACACAAAATGCAAATATTATCGTTTTCTATCGTCATTTTTGAAGCAAAAATAGCATGATGCCGCTTCGGACGACTTAATTAGTGTTCTAAAATTTCCAAATTTCAAATTCGAAATATTAAAAATTGGACAAAAATGGGATATCGATAAAAGGCTTTTGGAGAAGTTTTCGCTGGAAATCAAACCATTAAATCTCAAAATCCACGTTGCAATCGTCTCATTAAACTATTCGGATCATGAAATCGATACACTCAAATTTTGTGAAAATCCGGAATATGTAAAAATCGATAATTCGGGGAAAGTGCCGACCGAAGAATTTTTTTCAAAATTGGACAAACTCGGCTACAGTATTTTTAATAAAAATGAGCAATCGAAGGTTAGCAACCAAAACTCATTTTAAAATATCGAAAGCTGATTGCTAGTGAAGCGACTGAAATTGTGAAGGTGAATTTGAAAATTTTAGAAAATATTTTTCAAAAAATTGTTTTTTCAGACTCTTCTACAATGCCACAATTTGAAGTATTGCCGTTTAGTCGGACCGTTTGGAATTAATACTTTCAAAAAAATATCTTCAAGGTTGGAGCCAAGTATGTTCCAACAAACCAATATGAAATTCTCCATTCTCCGGTTCCCGATTCCTTGGATTTTTTCGAAATCGACTGTAACGAATTCATTAAAATCAAAAAGAAGAAGACCTTTTCAATCCAATGATTTAATTGATTTTTGTTAAATTTTTTCTCAATTTTACTCATATATTGTTGTTGTTTCTTTTTTTCAATTCGATTTTTTTATTCTCGATCGAAATAAAAAATTGAAAAAATATAAGTGAAAAAATAGAAGTGAAAAAATATAAGTGAAAAAATAGAAGTGAAAAAATAGAAGTGAAAAAATGGAAGTGAAAAAATAGAAGTGAAAAAATGGAAGTGAAAAAATGGAAGTGAAAAATCGGAAATGAAAAATTGAAGTGAAAAAATTGAAGTGAAAAAATCTAAGTGAAAAAATCTAAGTGAAAAAATCGAAGTGAAAAAATAAAAGTGAAAAAATAAAAGTGAAAAAATAGAAGTGAAAATTGGATTGAAGTAAGAAATTGGAAACGTTGCTGAAGTGGGGAAAACCATGCTCCAAGAAAATCCAGCAGAATTCTAGGTTTCTAACATAGCCTAGTTTATCATTTTATCGAGCAAAATTTATTTTGTTTCAAACTTCTGTCTTTGAGATCAAGAATTTATGAACCCCAAGGGCCAATCTTGGAGGTCAAATCTTGAAATGTATTGATTAATCGTCAAAGAAACACCATAATTAATCAGTATTTTATTATAGAAATCATTATTATTAATACAATACATATAAATATTAAAAGATAAAGTCATTAATAGTATTAATAGTGAAAATAGGTACATCCATTGTGTTCGAATACCTCTGCAGTGTATTGAATCGGCTGGAAGTAGACTGTGTAGTTGGCTGGTTGATCCATTGGCATTTGTTGAAACTGATTGAATTGATCCTCCTGATAGAAATGATTCTGGATTTCTGGTTGTGGAGACGTCGATGATGATGAAGTTTCAGAAGAAGATGGTGGAGTAGAGATCGGAGATTCTGAGTGGACCATACAATCGGCATCGGTATCCTCTCTCTGCTGATCGTTCTTCAATTGTTTTTTGGATTTGTAAAGACCTTGAACATGGATCATGAGCTTTGCCATTTGACGGGAATGCTCATCCAATTCCATTTGCATCTGCTTCGTCCATAGACCATAACGTGGGAAGTATTTGAAGGAATAGGCAGAAGAAGTAGAAGCAACAGATGACATCGTTACGAATAGGTCGATAGAGAAAGACAAGAAGAGAGTTGTTCGAATGAGAACAGGTAAGGAATGAGGAATCTGGGGCTCCTTATATACAGAAAATTGACTCCGCCCCTTTATCTATTAGTCATCCTCCTTCACCTGGATGAGCTGTAACCTGAGGTGAAGATGACAATTAGGGTAGTAAACTATCGGTTCAGTTTTAGATTGTCATCTAGATTAGGGATGGTATAGTCTTCTAATAGTAATCGTTGTGGGAAACAATGAGAAACATATCCTTAAGTTTGGGAACAATCATTTTTTATTTCAGATACCCAATTTTGGAAAAATTGTAGAGATACCAATGTTTCCTCTGACACTGGTGTACTCTGTAAGATCAAATTCTCATTGCTTATCTAAAATTTTTTTTTTTTGAGATTGAAAAATTTTAGATCAAAGTGATAACAAAACTACGAAGTGGAACCAAACTGCAACGGAGTAGAAAAAAGTTTATGACTTTTGAAGGAGATAAACATGACTTTTGCAAAAATTGTGATGTTTTTTGCTTCTTTTTTTGGGCATTGAAGCCCCGCCCCTTACGTGCTAATGTCCTAAAAATATTATCTGTATACTACTCTAACGGTTAATATCCAAAAAAATCAGTGAGTTCAAAAAACCATGTCTTAATTGCTGCAGAATGTTCTCATAATTATCTTTTTTGCAAAATTGCTTTCTCTCTATTTTTTAGTCTCACAAAATGAGCAATTCAAGTGCTGATCTTGCCCAAGATCAATGTGATTTGGATTATGACTCAATTTGGGAAGCAATTATCTATTTTGGAACTTTTACTTTCCTCGGATCCGGCTTATATTTACATTTAACAATAATCAAAACTATTCTGGTCACTGAACGAAAATATTTCTGTCGCAACTCATTTTTCAAAATTACAGTAATGGATTCCTTAGCGGTAATTCAAAGTCTTGATCAACTTCAAACTAATTAACTTTGAAAAATAACATTCCAGAGCGTAGTGGTAATTTTGAATGAATTGTTTTTCAATAGATTGTTCATCTACTCTGTACCATTCTGCCCAACAGCGTTATCATTCTTCTCCAGCCCTTCTGTGATTCTCAATTTCGTTTTTATCAGTTTGAACCATGCTAGATTATCGAAATCTGTCTCTCAAATTTTTATGGTTCTCAACCGAATGACTAGTGTTTTATTTCCAACTGATTATGAGAAAATTTGGAGGGTTATGACCCCAATATCCTGTGTATGATCTTGATTCTTCCTTGTGGTGGAATGTGGAACATTTGGATTTCAAAAGTGATTCCTAGAACATTTCGCGGTGGTTTCACTATAGATTATATTAAAACTGTGAAATGGGTATGATTTTTATTCTATTACAAACAGTTATCAGAAATTTGTATCAAATTTTAAAGAGTTTCTGAACCTTTCTGAATTTTTCTTAATTTTTGAAATTTCGGAATTATAGAATGTTTTGAATTTATTTGAATTTTTGAATTTTTGAACCTTTTAATTTTTTTGAAGTATTTCAGAATTTTTAATTTCTCGGTTTTTTGGATTCTTGAAATTTCTTGGATCTTTTGAAATTTTAGGATTTTTGGCATTTTGAGGTGTTTTAGCAATTTAGAAAATTTAGGATTTTTAAAAATGTTTGGAATTTGAAAAAATAAAATTCATTAATTCAGAAATTCAGAAATTCAGAAATTCAGAAATTCCAAAATTTCAAAAATTCTCCAAAGACACGAAAATTCAAAAATCAAAATATTCCAGAAATTCAAAAGTTTTTAAATATCCAAAAAAATTCTCTATTTCCAAAAACGAATTCAATAATTACCAAAATTCAGAAATTTAAAAAAAATCCTTGAAAATTTCAGAAACTCGAAATTCCAAAAAAATGTAAAATTCCAAGAATCGAAATAAAAATTTCAATAAAATTCAAAAAAAAAATAGAAAACTCCCAAAATTCAGAAAGTCTAAAACTGATGTAATTTCAGTGAAGAAGTATATTTTTAGGCCGCCCTATCCCTATTCCAATCCATATTCATAATCACCGTTATGATGTTCACCATCATCTGCTCTCTGGCCACACTTTTAAAGCTCATTCTCCTACCAGATCGTATAAAACATGCAGAAAAATCTCTCTGCTTCACTTCTATTTTCATTTCTCTCACTTTCATTTTAGTGGCTGCTACTCAAGTAAGTTACCTCTAATAGAAGGGCCCTCTTGAGCCAAACTTTCTCGTTTCCTATCAAAGATATGAAAAAGTTGTTAACTGATAAACTGTTCATCATAACATCACACACATTTTATAAGTTAACCACTTTTTGATACCTTCCTAGGAATCGAGATAATTGAGCTCAAACGTGACAGGGCCCTTTTATAACAGGTTTTACGGTAATTTTAAAATGCATACGAAACCAATTTTTCAGCTACCATTTGCATTTTGTGCTTCTTGTGACCGTAATCTTTTATATATGTTTCAATCTGTGGCCTTTGATATTTATACTGTTGGGTAAGCTATAGCGCTTTGCAAGGTCCATAATATGTACCGTCCTCTAATAGAAGCCCCCTGCACTTTGAGCTCAATTATGTCGGTTCCTTTGAGAGATATCAACAATTTGTAAACTAATTAAATATTGGTGATTTTGTGATAAATAATTTATCAGTTGACCACTTCTTGATATCTCTTGAGGGAACCGAGATAATTGAGCTCAAAGAGCTTGTGCTTCTATTCGAGCAAGTACGATAGCGTTTGTCAAATTCAGGCCAGCAGTCATTATAGTGATGACTAGTCGACAAATTCGAGAGCAATTATTTTTTATTAGAAGCTCAAAGAAAAGAGTTTCGATAATGGTGGTTTCGAGTAGATGGAATACAATTTGAGCGAAATTGTTCATGTTCTCTGTACAAATAATGTGTTATCAACTCTGCTATCCACTGGAACAGGTGCCGACGATACAGATGCTGTTCCGTTTCCATTTGCCAGATTCCAATAAAATACAGAATTTCGTATTTGTTTGTTTGATAGAATCATGACCACGGCTGTTCTGAAAATGAAATAAAATTTGATATAACGGGTATTTTTAGTAGTTTTGCAGGGAAAAAACTTTCAACTTCGAGATCAATTATCTCAGCTCCTATGAGAGATATCAAAATACTGTCAACTAATAAAATATTGGTGATAACTTGATAATTATTTTGTCAGTTGATCGTTTTTTGATATCTTTCACGAAAACAAAGATAAATTAGAGAGAAAGAAGGACATACCATTAATCCTTCGCCACCATGAATGCCCCGGTAGAATGCCACATTAAACTTGCACTTCAATTATCTCCATTCCTATAAGACATATCAAAAATCTCTCAACTGATAAAATGTTAATCATAATACTATCAATATTTTATCAGTTGACAGACTTTTGATATCTTTTATACGAAAAGAACAAATTGAGCTCAACGTGCAGTGGACTCAAGACTTACCCGACATTAAACGCATCAAAGGTGTAATAACTCAACATATACATAAAATACAAATACTCAAAACTCCGGCAGACTGAACAAGTCACAAATGCAACCTATAGCAAATTCAATAGTCAAAATAGGGCCTAATAAACTTTAATAAGTTCACCTGTGTAGCGCCAACAATCAAAAAGCAGCCGGAAATGAAAATACTCGTGAAACAGAGAGATTTTTCAGCTGAAATCATGCGGTCTGGCAGGAAAATTAGCTTGTACAAAGTGATTGAAGTGCAGATGATGGTGAAAAATAAAGCGGTTAGAACAAAAATCGATTGGAATAGAGATAGAGCTGCCCATTCCACATTTTTGATATAATCCATTGCAAAACCACCACCTACTGGGAAGACATAAATTCTAGAAATCCAAATATTCCAAGTCCCACAAAATGGGAGAAATGCCGTTAGAAATCGAACGATAGGTATCAGTTTTCTCCAAAGCGACTCATAATCAGTTGGCACCAGAACACAACTCATTCTGTTTAGAACCAAAAAAATTTGAGCGATCGATTTGGCGAATCTGCAGTGGTTCATAGTGGCATAAACTAGTTTTGGGATGAAAGATGGATTGAAAAATAGGGGCATAATGATTGCACACAGTGGAGGAATGTACATGAATAGGCGGACATAGAAGATGTCAGCAAGAAGGAGATAGGAGCTCTGAAATTTAAAAAAAAAATGGTCGAAAATCGGCGACCGCAGACCGCCCACTGACCAAGCTGACCGACCGCCGTCCAAGCTGACCGACCACCGATCAATCTGACCCACCGCCGGCCAAGCAGACAGACCGCCGACCAAGCTGACCGACCGCTGATCAAGCAGACCGATCTTCGACCAAGATGACCGATGATCGACCAAGCTGACCGCCCGCTGATCAATTTGACCGACCGCTGATCAATCTGACCGACCGCCAAACAAGCTGGACGACCGCTGATCAAGCTGACCGACCGCCGACCAAGCTGACCGACCGCTGATCAAGCAGACCGATCTTCGACCAAGATGACCGATGATCGACCAAGCTGACCGACCGCTGATCAATCTGACCGACCGCCAAACAAGCTGGACGACCGCTGATCAAGCTGACCGACCGCCGACCAAGCTGACCGACCGCTGATCAAGCTAACCGACCGCCAAACAAGCTGGACGACCGCTGATCAAGCTGACCGACCGCTGATCAAGCTGACCGACCGCCGACCAAGCTGGCCGACCGCCGACCGATGCACGACACATTTATTGAATAGTGTGTCGTAAAATGAAACTCCCTAGTCTGCTGACGCGAAAATGCGCAAGTTCGGTCAACCGTCGGTCGGATAAACTTTCCGACCGAATGGAAGCCTTAGTTTAGCTTACCGCCATCGATTCCATAACATAAATTTGAAAGAATGAGCTTTTGCTGAATGTTTTCCTCTCCACAGATAAAATAGTTCTCAGAATAGATAAATGAAGAAATAATCCAATCCCCAGATACGCAACACTCAAGACGTATTTCAAAATTTCAAACCAAAAATCATAATTTTCTCTACACTTTTGGGGAATATATGAGTCGTTGTACATGTTTCTAGAAACAAATCGAAAGTAGAATATGTATTCGTCGGAAATGGAATAACTGATTATATGGCGTAATAACAGCTGCTGCCAATTCCAAATGTTCGAAAAGATCAAGATGACATTTTTGGCTTTGAAAAACTTTTTTGATGTTTCAAAAAAAGAATTTTGTAGAATAGAATGGTAAACTTTTTATCGATAACAAAAAATAGTTTCAAATTCTATGCACAAAAATGTTATCGTTTTTATTGTCATTCTGTGCAGCAGCTGACACTGAAACTGTTCCATTTTTGTCAGAATGTTCCAGACAAAACACGGAATTTCGCAATTGTCGATTAGTGAGAATCATGACGATAGCTGTTCTGAAACTTCTGTATTTGGAAAGTTTAAGAAATTTGTTGAATTTTTTTTTTGAATATTTTCTGAAATTTGGAATTTTTTGGAATTTTTAGAAATTTAGAGATTTTTTTGGAATACTTTAGTTTTTTATTCGAATTTTGGAATTTTAGGAACTTTTAGGAGTTTTTTGAAATTTGGGATTTTTTTGGATGTTTTTTTTTGGAATTTCATGATTTTCCGATTTCTGAGTTGTTTTATTCTAACTTTCCGGATTTTCGGGATTTTTTTTTGAAATTTTGAAATTTTTGTTTTTTTGGAATTTTTCGGAAATTTTTAAACTTGGAACTTTTGGAATTTTTTGGAACTGTCAGGATTTTTCAAACTTTTTCAGAGTCTTCGAAAAATTTCTTTTCGAAGAGTGATTTTTGGATTTCATTCGAATTTTGGAAGTTTTTGGATTTTTGGTTTTTTTTTTCGGAATTTTTCGGTTTTTCGGATTTTTTGAATTTTTCGGAATTTTCAAAATTTTCAGAATTTTTTTGGAATTTTGTGAACTTTTTTTTTGTAACTTTTTTTTGGAAGAAATTTTCGATATCTCAAAATTCTGAAAATTTAAGAAAATTTAGGGATTTTCCGAATATCAAAGTTTTTCCGGACTTTTTTTAAAAGAAACTTTTCCGATTTCTGAAATTTTTTGGCTTTTGGGAATTATTTTATAAGTTTTTTTTTGGAATTTTAAGAGTTTGAAGATTTTTGTAATTCTTGGAGTTTGTTGGAAATGTTCACAATTTAAAAAATTTTTAGGAATTTAAAATTCTTTCGGCACAATCGTTTTCAGAAATACTGAAAAACCTGTAATAGAAGGGCCTTCTACTGTTCCAAGGTACCTCCACGGGACCCTTATATTAGAGGGACCCTTCTAATACAGGTTTTACGTTATTTTTCAAATCCCAAGCTCCTCCAAAATTGCTCTCACCCCAAATTGTAAACGTCAAACGTCCACTGACTCAACATGTACATGATATAAAACTCCATACCCCGACAAGCAGAGCAGAAAACAAAAGTAATCTGGAAATTGAATTCTCGGGGTGATATAAAAATATCATTTCCCACCTGTATGCCACCCACGATCAAAAAACAACAGGAAATGAAAATACTTGTGAAGCAAAGCGATTTTTCGGCAGATTTTATACGATCTGCGAGGATGGTCAATTTGTATAGGGTAATGGATGTACAAATTATAGTGAAGAAGAAAGCGGTGAAAATGAAAATCGCTTGAAACATGGAAAGAGATGCCTGAAAGTTATTTTTGGAAAGTGCAAACTCGCTCGAACGAACCCATGGCATATTTTTGATATAGTCCATTGCAAATCCACTTCCTGTACTGAATGCATAGACTCTTGAAATCCAAACATTCCATGTTCCGCAAAACGGGAGGAGGAGAGTAGCCAGTCGGACAATTGGTAATACCTTTTTCCAAATCTAAAAAGTACATTGTTCTTCATTTTTGCTCTCATTTAAGACTGGACAATTAGCTCTATCCGAATTTAGTGGCCCGTTAGATTTTTAGATTTTTTACACATTAAGTAAGATTTTTGGGTCCATTGGAATCCCATGGAACCATAGAAATCTCATGGTACCATTGAAATCCCATGGGACGATTAAAATTCCATGAGACTAATTAAATCCCATGGTACCATTGAAATGGAACTGTTGGAATCCCATGGAACAATTGACATCCCATGAAACCATTAAAATCCCATAGAACCTTCAAAATCCCATGGAACCATTGAAGTGCCATGGAACCATGAAAATCCCATAATACCATTGAAATGCAATGGTATTAATCCCATGGTACCGTGGAAATCCCATGAAACCATTGAAACTTCACGGAACCATTGAAATCCCATAGAACCTTCAAAATCCAACGGAACCATTAAAAATTCCATGAGGTCATTATATGCCCATGGTACCATTGAAATCCCATGGTGCCATGGAAATCCCATGGGACCATTGAAATCCCATGAGATCGTTGAAATCCCATAAGTCCATGGAAATCTCAGGGTATCGTTGAAATCTTGTAGGGCCATTCAAATCCCATGAGACCATCAAAATTCGGTGGAACTATTGAAATCCCATGGTACCATTGAAATTCCATTAGACCATTGACATCCCATATGATCATTGAAGTTTCATGGAAACATTGAAATCGCATGGAACCATTGAAATCCGATGGTGCCATTGAAATAACACAGAACCATTAGAACCTCATAGAACCATTGAAACCCCAATGAAAAATTAAAATCTTATGGTACCGTGAAAATCTTATGGAATCATAAAAACCCCATGGAATCATTGAAATCCCATGGGACCATTGAAATCCTATGAGACCACAGAATTCAGATAGAAGATTCCTCACATTCTCATAATTAGTCGGCGTCAAAACACAAGACATTCGATTCAACACCATAAAAATTTGAGCGATAGATTTCGTGAATCTACCGTGATTCATAGCTGCATAAAGCCATTTTAAAATATAAGAGGGATCCCAAAAGAATGGACCAACAATTGGACATAATGGAGCGATATACATAAAGAGTCTGGTGAAAAATATATCGATGAGAAGGAGATAAATACTCTAAATGAAAAACGTTATTATATTTCTCTGAAAAATGGTTCTACCGTCATTGAGTCTAAAAGATATATCTGGAAAAATGAGCTTCTACTAAAAGTTTTTCGTTCCACAAATAAAATAGTTTTGAGAATGGATAAATGAAGGAATAGGCCAATTCCAAGGTAAGCAATATTCAAAATATATTTCAAAATTTCATACCATAACTCATAATTCTGGTTACAATTGAATGAAATCGTTGAGTCGTTATACATTATTCTGGTAGCAGACAAGACAAGAGCAAACGTGAGAAAAATGACAACTAGGAGAGGCAAAATTTGATTATAAGGTGGCTTTATATGTCATAACAGCAGTAAACAATTATCATTCTCGAAAGTTTATACTTTTAAGAATAGTTCAAAAAATCGAATAAGAAGTTTCTAGGTTGGTCAATTCGGGAAAACTGAAACTATAATCGAGTTAGATCTTTCGGAAACTTTCCATGGGTAAATACTGGCACGGAGCTGCTTGTTGACTGCGATAACTATGACAGCTGATCTGAAATTTTTCAGGTAGTTTTTTTTTATTGATCCCGGAAGTTTTTGACGTAAAGGCTTCCATTTTGGTCAACGACCGACCGAACGCCAAGCTGACCTCCGGCTACCAAACTGAACGCCGACCAAGCTGACCAAGCTGAGCGCCCGCCGACCAAGCTGACTCACCGCCGACCGACCGCCGGCCAAGATACTCGACCGCCAGCCGACCAAGCTGACTGCTCTCCAACCTAACTGACGACCGCCGACCAAGCTGACCGACCGCCGACCTAAATGACTTACCCTACTGTAAAACTGTCAAATGCCAAGTACTGTAGAGCATATAAAATATCAGAAACACAACATGTTATCCATAGGATCTGTGTAGCTGCTACTAACAAAAAAGTAATGGAAATAAAAATCGAAGTGAAGCACAATGATTTTTCAGTAGCTTTCAAACGCTCGGGAAGCACTAACATTTTACAAAGAGTTACAGTAGTACAGATTACGGTAAATGCGAGAGCAACAAGAATGTAGGTAGATTGGAAGATGGACAGGGGAGCCTGGAATCATGAAGTAGCGGTGGTTACAGTATTCTCGACTTACCCATTCAACATTTCGAATGTAACTTAAAACAAATCCTCCGTAGACTGCTTTTAGGACTATTCTGGAAATCCAGACATTCCAGGAACCACCGAATGGGAGAATGATCACAAGGATTCGGACGGTTGGGAGGATACGTTTCCACATCTGGAATAAAGAATTCGAAAATGAAAATTTTCAATTCTGAGGTACGGTGTCAAAAATCCTCAAAAACTTTCATGTCTCCCCATATTCTTACTGTATTCTAATATTTTTCAGCTCATCAGGAGCTTCAAAATGAGCCTAGTCAAGTTTAGTCTAATTTCAAAGCTCTTAATGTCATTAAGGCGAATTTGTAGATTAGAATACGTAAATTTTTTGATTGATTGAGTGAGATTCTAAAAATACTAAACTCCAAAGCTCGTAACATTTTAAAAATACAAAAATCTAAAAACATCCTCAAGATCTAAAAAAAAATTACCTGATTATATCCAATTGGATTCAAAACACAAGACATTCGATTCAAAACCATGAAAATTTGAGCCACAGACTTTGTAAATCTTGCATGAATCGTCGTCAAATACACAAATTTACAAATATAAGATGGATGCCAAAAAATTGGGCCAATGATACCACAAAGGGGTGGCACATACATGAATAACCGGTCGAAAAATATTTCTGCCAGAATTAAAATTGAGCTCTGGAAAAAAAATGGGAAAATTGATTCTGAATTTTTGGATACCGCAATAGAATCCATGACAAAAAGCTGGAAAAACGTGCTATCTTTAAAATGAGCCTTCTGAGTGAACAAAATGATTTTAAGCAGCCATATATGGAGAATCAAACCGATGCTCAGATAAATACAAGTCATTAAATATTTTGAAATTTCGATGAAATCATTGTAGAGATAACTATTACACTCAAACGGTATAGGATCTGTGAATACAGAGAAATTGGACATTCTGAAAAAAATATTTATTTATTTTTATTTTTATGGCGGTTGGCAGAAAATGCACCAATAATTCCTCAATTCAATTAGGAAGCCTAGAGTCTAGAGACCAATAATTTCCAATTCGATATTTGACAAAATATTTTGGGTTTTCAATAATAATAACCTAGAATGAAATATCTTTTCACAAAATTCTTTTAAACTAAATAACAAGTTATCACAATGTTAAACTGATTTTGATTTGTGATGCTGAACTTGGAAAGTGCAACATTTTTGTTCTCTCTTATTGTGGCCTGACCTATTCGAAAAGAGAAAAAAGCGAAATAAGGAATAATTTATAATCAGCTGCAGACATTAAAGAAAAAAGATCAAAAAAGAATTATCCCGGAGCAACGGAAACCAAAACAGACTTTGTTCGATTTGAAGTATTCCAAGGAGAAATGCTAGTACGGAGCTGTTTGTTAATTGTAATCACAATGACAGCGGATCTGGAAGTTTGAATTTTTTAAATTAATTTTTCAAAAAAAAACTTTTAAAGTATAAAACAGACAGAAATTCCTACAATTCTGTCTAAAAATCATATTTTTAACGTTTCTAGAAACCGAGATAGAACCACTCCAAATACAGGAGGCTAGAGATGCAGACGACGAGACACGCTGCGTCTCTAGCATCGGAAACTTCAAATTGCCGTATCTCGATTTCTAGGTGAGCTAAAAACCGATTTTTGGACAGAATTGCATGTTTCGAACTGGGTTTTTAGGTTATTCATAAAATAAAAATATCGATTTTAGATAGGTCCAGATTTTACTCGATTCATTCATGATAAAGTACCGGTCTTACTAATTTATTCGAAAATGTATTTTTCAGGTGATTTTGAACATTTTGGCCATTTCCAAAAGTCTTGAGCTCAGCCTTCAAGTTTCCGATCACTTTGAAAACTTTGAAGGATGTAAAACAGACCTAGATTGAACATTTTTCATTCACAGAATTTTTCGGGAATTCCTAGTTTTTCCATTTTTCCGAAAGACACCGTTTTCCGAAAGACACCTGTTCTTCAGGGTTTCAGTACATAAAAGGGGTGTATTACAAAAATTAGAAAATAGCTGAAAAACTAGCTTTTCAAAAAATTCAGTGAATGCACAGTCTTCGATTCAATCTAGGTCCGTCTTAAACCCAGTTATCTGCCGGCCCGCCATCTGTCCGTGCCGGCCCGTTTGCAACTATGGAATTTTCTAAAAATTCTGTGAATGCAAAGTTTCCAGTCTAGCTCTTTTTCACATCCTCCAAAATTTTCAAAGTGATCTGAAAATTGACAGTCGAGCTCCAGACTATTGAATATGCCGAAAATCAGCTGAAAAATACGGTTCTGTATATCTCATTGACCAGTATACTGTATATTAAAGCCCCTGTACTCACCCCACTGTAAAAGTGTCAAATGCCAAAAACTGTATTGCAAATAACCAATCCGAGTCACAACATGTGACCCATAGGATCTGAGTAGCTGCTACTAATAAAAAAGTAATGGAAATAAAAATCGAAGTGAAGCACAACGATTTTTCAGCAGCTTTCAAACGCTCGGGAAGCACTAACATTTTATAAAGAGTTACAGTAGTACAGATTACGGTAAATGCGAGAGCTGTGAGGATGTAAATCGATTGGAAGAGAGACAACGCGGCTTGGAATAGAAAAAATAGTTTTTAGTGTCCGAAGTGAGTTATCCATTTTGAGGAATTTTTATCATGATTATGTGCAAAACCGTTAAAAACCACGCGCAGCTTGCAAGTTAGGCTCCGCTCTCGACTCCGCCCATTATTCCTATCAGACGGCTCCTACCAATTCCTCCCATATGGTGTGCTTGCGGCAAGTTTTGTTTTTGGTTTTTCTGCTTTTTCAATAGAATATTTAGGAACGTTTTTCTACCTGACCATCGGATGTATTCTTCATAATTTTCTGCAAATGAGTCAAAAAAAATTAATTCTGAGTCGAAAATTCCAAGAAATAACATTTTTCCAATCTCCGTCACCCATAATTTCTGACATGAAAAACAAATATTACTAACCCAATGCACGTTTCGACTATAACTCAATGCGAGCCCTCCATACTGTTGAACTGGGAACACCTTCGAAATCCATAAATTCCATGTTCCCCCAATCGGAAGGAAGATAATCAGTAAACGAATCAAGGGTAGTGATCGTTTCCAGGTCTGAAAATTGGAAATTCTGCTGAAAAGTCTGGAAATCTGTACCTGATTATAAGCAACTGGCCACAAAACGCAAGTCATTCGATTTGAAACCATAAAGATTTGAACGACCGATTTTGCGAATCTACAGTGATTTATGAGGACGTACAAGAATTTCGAAAAATAAGGGGATTTTAAGAAAAATGGGCCAGCGATGGGACAAAGAGGCGGGACATACATGAATAGACGAGTGTTAAATACATCGCCAAGGATTAGAAGAGAACTCTGGAAATGGACTTTGAAGCTACCGTATTCCCTCTAATAGAAGTACCACCCAAAGCCATTAACTTTGAGCTCAATTACCTCGATTCCTTCAAAAGATATCAAAAAAGTTTCAACTGATAAATTTTTTATCACAATATGCCCTATATTTTATCAGTTAACAAAATTTTGGTACCTCTCACAAGAACCGAGATAATTGAGCTCAAAGTAATACCCTATAGAAGTCTACCCTATACACTTTGAGCCCAAATATCTCGGTTCCTACCAGAAGTATCATAAAGTAATTAACTGATAAAATGTTTATCACAATATCACCAATGTTTTATCAGTCGACACATTTATTATATCTCTTATAGGAACCGAGATAATTAAGCTGAAGGTTTATGTGTCGTTTTATTAGAGAAAATGTATTCGTACCGCTATAGAATCCACGACATGAAGCTGAAAATATGAGTTATCTTTGAAAAATGATTTCTGAGAAATCAAAATTGTTTTCATTAAAAAAATATGGAGAATAAATCCGATGGACAGGTAGAATACAGTACCCAAATATTTCAGTATTTCGATAAATGTATTGTAAGAGTTATCACATTTGAATAAGATGGTCTCGTTGGAATTCGAAGTCATATTATTTTTCAGAAAAATGTTCAAAACTGAAATTTTGAGAAAAATTGACTTCCTTGAAATTGGAAATATCAGAAAAACGAGAAAATTCTAGAATAATTAAGGGGTGAATCGAAGGAAAGAGAAAATTATAGCTAGTGGTTTGAACTGCAGTAAACTGGACTTTGGAAGAGATTTCAGAAGGTTTTTAATAATTTGGCTAATTATCAGGTCGACTTTGTCGTCACAACTACAAACTACAACTTCTTCTTGAAATTTTATATTTGAAAACTGAATTTAAGAATCTCAGAATCTCAGAATCTCAGAATCTCAGAATCTCAGAATCTCAGAATCTCAGAATCTCAGAATCTCAGAATCTCAGAATCTCAGAATCTCAGAATCTCAGAATCTCAGAATCTCAGAATCTCAGAATCTCAGAATCTCAGAATCTCAGAATCTCAGAATCTCAGAATCTAAGAATCTCAGAATCTAAGAATCTCAGAATCTCGGAATCTCAGAACTTCAAAATCTCAGAATCTCAAAATCTCTTTTGTGATGTTTCGAATTTCTGACTTTAGGAATTACTGAACGTTTGATTTTCAAAGTTTCGAAACTTCTGAATTTCAGAATTCCAACTTCTTGGAATATGTGACCCTGTCATTATAGCAACTTAATTGAACTTTTGAAAATTCTGGAAACAGAGCATCACAACAAAGTTTATGGAAATCAATTTTAAAAAAACAACGAAAAAAAATTAAATCTCGACTTCTGCATATCTTTTGAATAGATGGGAACCAGGCGCATGATTCAGAAAAAGCCTGAAATTCAATTTGTTAGTCTGAAATTCCAAAATTTCATAACTCATAACATTTTTCCGATATTCGAAGACGGGGTTACGGTAACTATCACTCTCTGCGTCTGCTTATTTTTTCCAGATGAAAATAATGTGGTCCGTAGATTTTTATTGCTTGCAATTAATATAACTGCTGATCTGAATTTTTGAGTTGTTTTTTCTCGATTTTTCAGTTTTTGTGGACCAACCCCACAGTAAAAGTGTCAAATGCAAATGCTTGAAGAATAAAGAGAATGTCTCGATTACAAGAAGCACAGAAGAGAATCAGAAGCTGAAAGATTGACTTTCAACTTTTAGCCAATTTTTCTCAGTTCCTGTCAAAGATATAAAAAGTTGTCAACTGATAAATTGGTTTTCATAATAGCACAAATATATTATCAGTTGACAACTTTTTGATATCTTTTACAGGAAGCGAGATACATGAGCTCAAAGTATTGGGATCGCCTTCGATTCCAGTGATTCAAGTGTATAAGCTCCTATTAGGTACCTGAGTAGCTGCCACTAATAAAAATGTTGAAGAAATAAAACAACTAGTGATACATAACGCCCTTTCTGCACTTTTTATCCGATCAGGGAGAAAGTATAATTTGTAGATTGTGATTGATGTGCACGTTATAGTGAAGAATAAAGCAGTGGATATGTAAATGGATTGGAATAATGATAAGGCGGCCTGGAAGTGGAAAATAAGATTTGCTAGGTGACCTAACTTTTTGTATTTTCTAGGCCATGCCCTAGTTTTTTTTTTATTTCCTCGGTCGTGACCTAATTTTTTCTAGGTCATGTCCTAATGTTTTGAATTTCTTAGGTCATGACCTTATTTTTTAGATTTTTAGATCATGACCTCTTTTTCTGGATTTTCTAGGCGTTGACCTAGTTTCATAGGTCATAACCTAATTGTTTGGGTTTGGTAGGTCACGACCTAATTTTTTGAATTCCCTAGGTATTTTTTTATTGATCAGAAGAAGGATATGGCACAAAAGTTATAACGGAAGTTCTAGATAGAATCCCTCACGAGATCAACATAGAGAAAATCAATCTAGTGAAGATCGATCATGACCTAATTTTTTTGGATTTTCTAGATCCTGTCCATTTTTAACGAAATTATAAGCAATATTTGAAAAATACCACGTGACTCTATTTTTGATTTTTTCGAGAGAGAAATCAAATTTTGAAAATGTTAAAATTGGAAAACAAGAAATGAAAAGTCAAAGGTCACAAAAATAAATTTTTCCGAGAATTACCGTCACACATTCAATATTATGAGCCAATTTATCTAGGTTCCTATGAAAGATATGAAAAAGTGATCAAGTGATAAAATGTTTATCATAACATCACAAACATTTTATCAGTTGACACATTTTTGATACCTTGCAGAAGAACCGAGATAATTGAGCTCAAACTTAAACTTTCCATTACAGCCTCGGCTGTCGGCTTGCAGCTTCTGGCCGGAAGTTGAGGGGGTTCGGCTTTTGGACGAATCTTGTTCAGCTTTTGGTCAGAAGCTGCAGCAATGGGACGGGCAATGATCGGATTTTGGCCGGAATTTGACGGCGCTGCGTGTTATGCGGCGCGTGCTTCACTCATTTTAAATTTGTTTTCTAAACTATTTTTCTTGCCGTTTCTCTAAAAACTTTGTTTTAAAGTTGCATCCTTTCAATCTTTGGAGCATTTTTTGGAAACAATAACAGACGATGTTCTCGAAAAAAAAGAGTACGATACTTATCAGGTAATTTATTCTTTGAATTCTTGTCATAATTTAAATTTTTCAGATAAATAAAATTCAAGTCAACGTTTTTAATGTCAAGTTCTTGGGAGATATCGCAACTAGAAGGTAATTTTTGTTGAAAAAAACTGTATTTTTGGAAGTTTTGTTTCCAGGAATCAAAAAAAAACCTGGATGCTAGAAAATTCGAAGAAAGGCAAGAAAGTTAATCAGGTAAATTGCTATTTTCTGAATTAATAACTAACTTTATTCACATTTCAGGCAGAGCTTCTTCTCCCGTATTCGTCACGATTCACAGCGACATCTTCAAAATTTAAAAATTTAAATCATGATTTTCTTATTTTTCTGTATTTTTTCCCTAATTTTGTTCATTTTCATGTATAACTATTTTTTTAATAAATAAAATTCTACATAATGCGCTGTTTCTCTATAAAAACATCAATAAACGCGAACCGAACCGGCCCCTGCTGTTAGGAGGTCGGAAGTTGGCCGGTAGTTTGTCGGATCTTGGTCGGCTTCCCATAATGTCTTTGCCGGAATCTGACCAAGTTCCGTCCTGAAGCCGACCAGGCTCCGGCCAGAAGTTGCCGGCGACGCCCGAGAGGTTGTCGAGTTCAACTCACCCACTGCACCGCCCGTTTATAATTAATAGCAAATCCTCCTTGTATAGATTGTGCAAAAACTCGACTAATTATCAGATTCCACACACCACCAAATGGCAAAATCGCCACAATAACCCTCGAAATCGGTGTTAATTTTTCCCAAATTTTATCATAATTCGCCGGCGCCAAAACACAAGACATTCGGTTCAAAACCATTATAATTTGAACAACGGATTTCGAAAATCTGGTATAGTGCAAAATAAAATAGACAACTTTTAAAATAATAGAGGGTTCGTAGAAAAATGGACCGAAAATTGGGCATAGTGGATAAACATAAAGAAAGAGTCGATTGAAGAAAATGTCTCCTAGGATGAGAAGGATGCTCTGAAATTTAGAAAAAAACATTATTTTTGAGAGAACCGAAATCAAACAAAAAATATGAAATTATTTTAAAATTTTCAGTGAATTCTGAAGCTCTGAAAAAGTAGCCTAGAATTTTTCGATTTGTCTGAAATTTTCAGCGTATGCTAAACAAGGTAGAGCTTCAATTTTGTAATTGACAACTTTTCTGTTAATGTTCCACAAAGCGAGATAAGCGGTTTTAAAGTAGAATCACTCTCATTTCAGTGTTCATTTAGTAATTTTCGTCTGAAATTTAACAAAAAGGTCTCAATAAGGAAAATTAATATCAAACTTATGTTTGGCTTGGAATGAGCTTTGAAGAGAGTATAAACATTACCTACTACCCAGAACTTCGATTTTCAACATGCGCCTGTAAAGTCAAAAATAAAAATTTGAGGAACCCTGGTCATGTTTATACTTATTTTGAAGCTGTTAACAAGCCAAAGATGAATATAATACAGATTTTGAATTTGGTCAAAAACTGACTGATTTATGGCACGTGCAGACCAGGTGACGCTATATTACAGGTCTTACGGTAATCTGAAATTTTCAGACAAATCGAAAAACTCTGATTCACTTTTCCAGGACTATAAATTTGACTATTTCCTATTGAGAAACTCAAAATATGATAATTTGTGGGGTACCGTACCATCATAGAATCTATCGCATAGATTTGAAAAAACGAATTATCCTTATAAACTTTTCGTTCCGTATAAAAAATCATTCGAAGAATGGAACCATGTAGGAATAAGCCAATGGTGAAGTAAGAAAATGTGAGTGCATAAAGGAATAAATCCACAACCGGAGCATCTGGTTCCTGGCATTGGAAAGGGATGGAATCGTTGGAGAGAGTACTACTCATTTTTTGATACTGGAAGTGAAAATTTTTAGTCTGAAATTGAAAATTTTTAGTCTGAAATTGAAAATTTTTAGTCTGAAATTGAAAATTTTTAGTCTGAAATTGAAAATTATCGAGTAATAGGCTTGAAAATTATGATGTGAAGAGCAAGTAAACACAAAATTTTATTTTGTTCGAGACAGAAAAAATATTTTAGTTTGGTATTTTGGCCGGAGTAATTATAGTTTTCGTATGGGATATGGAACAAATGGAATCATTCGGGGAAGTAAATTTTTTGCCGAAATGTCCAAGATATGGGACAGCACGTATCACAAAAAGAAAGTTCTGGAAAATATGTACCGTAAACCTGTATTAGAAGGGCCCCCTGTAATAAAAGAGCTCTCCGGAGGTACAGGGGAACAATGAAGGGTCGGCCCTTCTAATACAGATTTTACGGTACCTGAAATAAAAACATTTAAAATTTGGAAACCATTTTCTGAGATTCCTATAACTTATGGGCCAAAAGTGCAAATTTTTCATGACGAATCTTCAAAACTTTTCGAATTCCAAACTCAAATTTCAGAAACTATCATTTAGAAATGTCAAATTTTTCAGAATTGCAGAACCAAAGCACAAACCTTTCAGATAAAAATTTCAGACAAGACTCAAATGTACCTAATTGTTTACTTAACCAACCCCGGAGATGAATAAGCAGGTGGTATTTTTAGGTATTTTAAATTAAAGTTTGTCGCCCGAAAACAGAAGAAAAATGTCATAAATAAATGACGAGAGGTTTTCAGATTCCTGATCGATGTACTTTTGGGGGATCTTTGAAGTTTTGAATTTTAAAAAGGTTTATCGAAATTAAAAATTGAATGAAACATTAATAGGTTTGAGTAGAAGAAAATCTTCCAGATTGTCTTGCTGTAACTGTGATATTCACAATTTTTCGTTTCTTGGAAGATGTGAAAATCGAGGTACGAAGATGTTTGTTGGTGAGGATTAGAATTATGGCAGATCTAAAAAATTCAATTAGAAAATACTGTATTCCTTTTAATAGAAGGCCACCCAAACCGTCAAGTTTTAGCTCAATTATCTTGATTCCTGTAAAAGATATTTAAAAATTGTCAACTGATAAAATATTAATCATAATATCACTGATATTTTATCAATTGACAATCTTTTGATAGCTTTCATAGGAACCGAGATAAATTGGCTCAAAGGACGTTTATTCCATTATAGTGGTATACAGAGAAATGTATTGTTGGACGAACATTAAAATTACCATACACGCTCTAATAGAAGGCTACTCGGACCGCCAACTTTGAGCTTATATATCTCGGTTTCTGTTTGAGGCATCAGAAAGCAATCAATTGATAAAACACTTTTCAAATTATGATGAACATTTTATCAGTTGATCACTTTTTGATATATTTCTCAGAAAATGAGATATATCTGCTCAAATTTTAGATATACTCACCCCACCGTGAAAGTGTCAAAAGCCAGAAACTGCAAAATATACAGTTCATCTGAACGACAACTTGGACACGTGGCAAACAACATCTGAAAACTGCGAATCTATCAAAATTTCTGGCGTTTTCCAGCATTCAACCTGAGTAATTGCCACTAGAACAAACGTAAAAGATATTGAAATACTAGTGAAGCAAAGGGATTTTTCAGCGGATTTTATACGGCCGGGTAGTAAGATTAGCTTGTAGAGAGTAACCGATGTGCAAATGAATGTGAAGGATAGAGCGGTGATAATAAAAATGGACTGGAACATGGAAAGGGAGGCCTGGAAAACAAAAATAAGATAAGAAATAGCGTAAAACCTGTATTAGAAGGGCCCCTTTAATAGAAGGACCGATCCTTCTAATACAGGTTTTACGGTAGTTAAAAGTTCTCACCCATGGCACTGCTTTGATATAGTTGATTCCAAAGCCACCACGAACTGCTACAATGAATGTTCTAGAAATGATAATATTCCATATTCCAGCAAAAGGGACACATACACTCATAACGCAGGCAATTGGGGTCATCGTGGACCAGAGCTAAACATTTATGTTGCATAAATATGTGTTCGAGAATTTATGTTTTCCGGATGACTCACTTTATTATAAACAGCTGGCAACAGAACACATGACATTCGGTTGAGCACCATAAAGATTTGAACCACAGATTTCGCGAATCTAGCATGATTATTAAGGGCATAAAGGGTGTTTAGAAGGATAGAAGGGGTCCAGAAGAATGGAGAAACATAGGGACAGAGTTGCGGAATGTACATAAATACACGGCCAAAGAGCAGGTCGTTTAGGATTAGGGTGGTGCTCTGAAACAGTAAGTTGAAAAATAAAGAGGAGAAAATACATGTCTACTTATCCTATTTTTGTGAAAATCGTTCGCCAATAAGATATACATACAAAAACGTTTTTGTTTAGTTTCTTTTTGTCCATTTTGACCTTTTCGTAACTTTTGAAAAATTCTTTATGCAAAAAAAAATCTTAATCAAAAAATAGACAAATTACATACAATTCTGACGCTCCTATGAACCGAGATAGACTTACAATTCAGGAGGCTAGAGACGCAGACGACGAGAAACGCGTCTCTAGCCTCGGAAATTTCAAATGGTTGTATCTCGATTTCTAGGTGAGCTAGAACATTGGTTTTAGGTAGAATTGCATGTTTTGAATCGGGTTTTTATATTATTCCTTAAAAAGAATACAATTTCTAAATTGGCTTAGATTTTACTCGATTTGTTCTTGATAATGTACAGTATCGGTCAATAAGATGTACAAAAATGTATTTTTCAGTTGATTTTGGGCCTTTTTCAGGAGTCTGGAGCTTGCCTGACAAGTTTTCGATCACTTTGAAAGTTTAACAGGATGTAAAACAGAACTAGACTGAAAAATTTGCATTCATTCACAGATTTGTCTGAAAAATTGTCGGAAAAATGGACTGAAATGGCTTGAAAGGCCTAGATTCTGACTTTGAAAAACGGAACATGGTCGAAAATCGGCTGAAAATTGCTAAAATTGGTCTGAAAATTATCATAAAAAACCGAGAATTGACCTGAAGATAAGCCTAAAGTTAATGGCCTAAAAATGCATGAAATCAGCTTAGAAACGCCTGAAAAATTGGCTCTTTTGTCTAAAAATAGGCCTGAAAATGGCCTGAAAATATCCCTTAGAAATTATGACAGAATTTTTTGAAAATTCTTAGATATTAGCCGATTTCTGAAAGACTTTTTTTTGTATTGAATGCGTGAAAAAACAGGTGTCTTTCGGAAATCGTCAAATAGCTGAAAAACTAGGAATTTTCGAAAAATTCTGTGAATGCAAAATTTTCAATCTAGGTTTGCTTTACACCCTCCAAAAATTTCAAACTAATTAGACACTTGACAGCCGAGCTCCGGACTCATGAAAATGGCCGAAAATCAACTGAAAATTAAACTTTTGTATATCTTATTGACCGATACTGTACATTATCAAGAATAAATTGAAAAAAAAATTGAGCCTGTTTAAGAATCGTGATTTTTTTGCTTTAAGTAACCTAAAAACCCAGTTCAAAACATGCAATTCTGCACAAGAACCAGTTTTCTAGCTCATCTAGAAATCGAGATACGGCCATTTGAAGTTTCGGAGGCTCGAGAACCCAAAGTGGATACCGGAATGTCCTGTAATCGGAGTTGGGAGACCAGTCGAAAAAAGTCCAGAAGAAGGTGGATGAGAGAAAGATCCAGAAGGTGCCGTTGGTAGGCCAGCTTGGAAAGGGTGAGATTTGGCAACCGGTGGCTTATTTTCCGCAGAAACTGGTGAGGAAGGTGTGGAAGTTCCAGAAGCCAAAGTCACGATAATAGCCAATAGAGCCAAAAGCTTGCACATCTTTTTCAAAGAAGGATGTAGAATATTTTGGATTGTGGCTTTTTATAAATCTTACTGAAAAATCATAGATCCATGTTTTTCCAGTTTTGCAACATTTCGTTTATTTTCAACATCTGAACTTTACTGCATTAAGACCCCTTTGCTCTAATTGTGCATTCCCAAAAAATCAAAAACTTCCGCCTGTTCAAATACAAACTTTCCCAATAAATGATGTCAATTAAAGATTGAAAAACTGTAAACGC